CCGCTTAACAAAAACTTCACATTTACACAGACAAACTCATTCTGCACCTAGGGCAAGGGTGACTGGCTGTAGCAGATGGAAAATTTCAACTCCAGTCTTGATTACCTTTCTGCAGTTTCAGACCCAGTAAGGGTCATGGCCATGGCAGTCACAGCAGCAGGATAAAAGCTCCTTGGACAAAGCTTCCTTTGTATTAGTGGACACTTTTTGCCTCCTCACATCCTTGTAACAACAGCAGTCAGTGAACCCAGAGACATGGGTTGCTCAAAGGATTTGTTGAGCTCGGCAGAGAATGTTTTTGTGTTCCCCATCTCACCACTCTTTTGGATACCGTGAGTCCAACAAGGGGTGAAAGACATTTTTTCTATTCAGAGGGTGAATGCAGGTCAAGCGGACTGAAGCTGAGCCTGAGTGGGTGTCGAAGAGGCAAAGGAGCAGCAGATCAAAAGCCTCAGCATCCTTGAACGGGTTTTATGCCAGCACTGCCTGCTCCCAGCAGGGTCCCCATATAAACGAGGGTACCCTTGTCAATCAGACTGTGTCCCTTGTGGGAGGGGAGCAGGAGCCAGCAGGAAGCTTCAGCCAAAATCAAGTTAGCTGAACGTGTAACTACAATAATTACCGAGACCCATTTCTGCTCCCATTAACAGGGTCTGGCTGCTGCAACATCCCCTCTGCCTCCTTGCCTAAAGATAGGGATGAATAGAAATGAAGTGACCTGGGAGCAACAGGGAACCGTCAGCTTCCAGGTCACATACAGGGAGCACTTGCTAACAAGGGGGGCATCTGCTGTAAGCAAACTCCTGCATCATGCTGGAGCCTGAGGATGCTCATGGCCTCTCCTCGGCTCAGATGCAATAAAATTTGACACGGCTGTGAAGCCAAGACCACCTGGGCTCAACATCTCATCAGATGGGCAGGAGGAGTAAAGTCAGTCACTTTTCATCTAGGTCCACAGCTGCTGGGTGCAGGGTCTGGCGCAGCCTGCTTTTAGCTGGGGGCAGAATCTCACTGGTCTTTCAGTGCGTAAGTTATTCCAGTGACTTGCTTTGACTACCAGAGCCAGGGCTGTGTCCCATGAAGGCCAGGACTAGGGACAGGGACACATAGAAAAGAATTTGCAGTTTTCCTCTGGAGAAAAATGCCATTCAGTTAGCTTTCAGATAGTAGGCATCACAGCAAAGGACAGTAGTTTTATAAGCCAGCACTGTTTGTTATGAGTCTGAATCAGACTTCCATATATTATAACATGACAACATATTTTTACTTCCAGAGCCAAACAACCACATAATATACTTCGAAGCGAACATAGTAGATAAGAGGTAATTTAATCTCAAGCTTCATTAGTTCAGCTATTGTATGAAACAGATAACAGATGCAGGAGAATAGACAGAAAACATAGCCTCTCCATGACTACCATCTGTGTAAATAAGCGTGTGGGGAGCTTGAAAATTCACTACACTCCAGTTCACAGAGAGTCCTCATGGGTTTGTAATAAAGCATTCCCTCTCTGCTAGTTCATTAATCAGATTCCCTCACGCTGGAGCTTTCCTTTTGGTGGTTTCCCATTAACGCCACGTTTGCCATCGCTCCAGCATGCCAACGTTCCCAGTGGGAATTTTCCCTAACACCAGCACTACAGTAAACAGCAGTGCCCTTTGCCCAGGCAGTCCGGCAAGCAGGACCACAGATGTGGCATTACGAGAGGGCAGCACTGGGCGGCTGTTCACATCCCAAGGATTACTGCTGCAGTAAAGCCACGCGCTGCCTTGAAAAGCTCGCATGTACAGTGACCTTAACCTGCCTGGGACTCCCCTTCTAATTTGCAAAGAACTGGCTTGACCCCACATGCAGCCTGTTCTTGCTTCCAGCTTCCCCCAGCCTCTACACAGAGTTCTTTTTTTGCTAGCAGATAGTATTTACTCAAATCCAAGACAACCCTTAAGGTCTTAAAATCCAAGGTTCCCCCCTTCTTTCATTTATTGAGACTTCATGCTAAACAAGAGGGAATTCAGGGTTTCTGTTCTGCCTTTATGGCACAGTAAGAGCTGACTCTTACACCGTGTCCTTTGCTCAGTGCCTTGGGCACTGTATTGGCCTATTAATTAGGAAGCTGGGCTCAACCCCTTCCCTTTCAATTCTGAAGGGAATTCAGTCTGCAGCTCTCACGGACCAGGCTTGGGGCAGGCCTCTTTGACTCATTAGCCTTCATGAGCCCCAAAAGTACTGTTCTCCGCAGTCAATATAAGGAGAAGGGATACGTCATGTCTCAGCCCCCAGCCAAAGCCACTGAGTCACTGGGTCCAGTGGAGAACAGACGGCTGCTGAGGACCGTCTTCTCACCTGCTTGTAACATGACAGAGATAGACATAACTCCAGAGGTCTAGCAAAAGACGGCCTCCCCAAAACACCCAGTCCCTCCAAGTAACTATTTTCCTCTGTTCCACATCTTTAACTTTGATTTAGTAAAAGCTACACCTAGTGACTCATAATGGTAACAGTGAACTAGCAGAAGCCCTTAAGAACCTTAATAAATTTTCTTTTTGATTTGATTGTGTCTTTCAAGTAGGCATCCGATAGCAGCCCAGATACTTAACAACTTCCTGGTTTTCACACAGTCACCACAGATTCCTCCCAAAACCCAGGCACCTCAGCTTACAGAAGATGGTTGGCCACTCTGAGGGTACTGTAGTTATTGCTCGTCCTCCTGGCTCTTACTGCTGCAACCACCATGTCTGTAGGAGAGACTTGTACTCCTTGGCTAACATATCCCAGGTTTTGTTCCTGTGGATGTGCTGGAGATACCTGCATTTGTTCATTAAGAGAAAGGAGGAGGTTGGTATCAATCAGTCACAGAAATAAGCAATATTCTTATGTGAGCTCCCCATATCCTACCACCTGCAGGTGTAAGGGCTGGGGAGACTTCAGTGCTGGGCAGCAGCAATAAACCAGGTTTCTTACTAATCACCATTCTGTAGCAGAATGAGTCCCCGTAAACACAGTTGGATTAGTCAGTCCAGTGAAGAGAGAGGTGTCTGCCACTAAGTCCTGTTCTCCAGGGGAACACGATAACCCACTGAAAACAAGGACATCTAGGACATTCACTTCAAGAGGGCTGAAATTTCTCCCTCTTAAGTCTCCAATGTACTGTGTTTCTGTATCCACAAAATTAATCTGTCAGTGCTGCTGCATTAAGTGCCTCTGTCTGGAACGCCACTCCTCAAATCCCTACTTCTCTCTCGCCTCATCCCATCATCACGCAAGTGTGCTCCTGCTGGCAGAGAGCCTGCACACCTAGAAATCTCCTCTTGAAAAGGTCTGGTTCTGATTGTGCCTTGATACCACAAAGTAGCTGTTTTCACATTTAGGTACTAATGAGACTCACACCTATACACACCTCACTGCCTACCCCGCTAGGATTGCAGAGTATGAGATCAGACCCTATGTGAAATCCAACTGAAGAAATAAGTTATTCCACGTTGATGGTGAGGACGCTTATCCGGCCTTTGGCTTACCCAGAGCTGGTTCACAGCAGGGCTGCTGTCACTAGGTGCCACCGACCACACTCACCCTTGCAGCCAGCAGCCTTAGAAAGGCTTACAGAAGGAAGACACCCAACATCCTCCTGTCAGTGAGTTGCAAGATGGTACCTGACAGTTTGAGGCACACGCGATGCAGAGTTTGCTGTCACTATATGTGACATTCAGGGTCTTCCTGAGCAGTGTCCTGGATCTCAGAGTGCCCTAAACCAACTTGTAGAATGGACAGATGGAGGTTGCATATATAATAATTAGCAGACAATCAGTCAGTGGTTACTTATGAAATGTAGTAGATAACTTCTCCCTGTAGCTATCCCTGGATGCCTACATCTACATTACGTACACTTAATTCTACTTAAGCATGGGCAATATCAAACACTTCTCATGTGTTTCTATAATACTGGTAAAGCCACTGACTGACAGACGCAGTCATGGGGAAGACGGACAACTGATTGCTCAAATCCACCCACATTCTATTTCTACTAAAATCATGGAGGGAATCACTAGAGCCACAAGCACAATGTTTTCCCTGCATGCTGATTTCATTTCAAGCTGATGCTAGGCAGCCAAAAGGCAGTTCCTTTGGTGGGTGCTGCATGGCTGGCCAGGCCAAAGAAGTGCAGCAAGCCATGCCACATAGTGCAGCAGACAGCAGGAACTGCTCGTCAGGCTGTGTGTTGTGCAGCAGATTATACAGTGAATGCCTAAAGAGCCTTTGCAAAGTGGAGAGAGCTTCAACTCATTTCTCAATTCAATTCATTCCTCTCCCTTAGAGCACCTGTGCAGGATGCTGCCCCTGTTGGCTGGAGATCCACACTTACTTTGTGAAGCAAGAAGGAGCATCTGCCTGCAACTTCATAGGGTGTTATGAGGCTGAACCCATGGATGGATGCATGGGTGGAGTTTGGTAACTGAGTGCAAACTGATGGTGCTCTCTACCCAAGCATGGATGCCTAACTGCAATGCCTGTGCTCCTGGGCTGCATGTCAAGGAACAGGGTTAGTCCGATTAAGTTTTCTGGGCATCAGCATCAGCAGTACTTGCAAAACTTGAGTATTGAAAAGATTCTGGGGAGTAGTGGGGGAGTGGGCATGATCATATTGTATGCAACTGTTCAGGAAAACAAATGCATCTCACAATAGACATGCACACATCTGCTGCCAAGGAGTTAAGGCACATCTGCTTGGACTAGAAGTGGTAAGATGTCATCTATTTCATAGGAAATAACTAAGCCTATTAATGTGTATTTTTACTTAGCACCATGCTTTATTCCGCTACTTTTTCCCTCACCCTTTTTAATGATCTCTTTTATGTTGGAGTATCAAGTATCAGAATACTTCAATGATAAGGATTCCCCTGGAATAGAAAAGATACCTTCTAAGGTATCTTTTTTTCCTTGGAATTCTGTCTTATGAATCTTCTTGCACTGGAAACACAAAATACCAGAGACATGAGACATAAGCAATGCCATTTATTGAAGCTTGAAACAAATATGTCATCGTAGTTTGCTTTTTAAACCTTGAAATGTTAGAACAAGCAGTGAATGTGCCAAATACACATTTTTTCCTGAGCAACCTGTTGAAGCTGACGTGTCTCAGGCTAATATGATAATATAATGATATTATGCCTCTGCACTTAACACTCTATTCAGTTTTAAGAATAGTGACCATCTGGGTTAGGATCATAAATCCACCTTTACTTAAAAAGAGATATGTCATAAGAAAGGAATCTTGCTAAATGGGTGGCAGAGGTGACTGCACATATTATTAGCACAGAGGACATACTAGGCTGATGAGTGCCATGTAAGAACCTATGTAAAATACAGCAGTGGCACTGCTCTATTAGAACAGTTCATGTTGTTGTCACAGTCTTTTCCCTAAAGTTTTAAGCTGGGAGAGTGATGCACTCAATGCATCGCATCGCGTTTAAGCACAGCGGTGACTGTGCTTCCCTGGGTAGAAAGATTATTTTGATTAATGTCCATAATATAATTTATTCACTTTTATGCTTTTCAAATGAAATTACAGCTCCCTGAAGAAAACAATGAAGCCAGAAATGGCTTTACTCCTCACTAGCCATAAGGAGCACCGGAAGGGACAAGCCCCCCAGGCACTTTTCCTCCCACCTGCACTATATCCACTCAGTCAGCCCCTTTCTTATTAGCTTACATACCTGATGGCCCACTTCTGCTGACCTCTGTGGATAAAACGTTGCAGGTACCTCTGAGCATAGAAGAGTCTGACTCTGAAGTGAATCTAACTTTGTCCTGCCCAAATCCTACAGGATGCTTCTGGGAACATCAGAAGCATCTGCACTGTCCACCAGTCTAGGTTGTTTGGCCATCAGAGAACTGCCTTGGATGTAGCAGTACAGGCTCTGCTCTACACAATGCAGCCTGAGGCCAAGCCCTGCCCAAATGCTTCCTGAATCAGATGGGACACCTCCACTCCTTCATATGATTCAATATTTCTGTGTCCAGTGGAATAAGAACTGCCCAGATTTCTATTGCTCAAAAGGTCAGTAGCCATTCAGGACCTCAGAAGGACATAAGCACACTGTGAAACTTAAAAAGCATTATGTCTGGCATTGGCCAGCAACACCATAGACAGGTATTATTTTACGAGTATCTGCATGTATGCTATGTACACACATGCATGTGCATGCACCATTGTAAGTCATCCCCCACATCTGTTATACTAGCACCATATTTTTAACAGTGGATTTTAAGTTTTATCAGCACCTATAACTGGGGTTATATTGCCATCACAGAAGTTAATAAATCTAACCTTACCATGCTGCATAACCTGAACTCCCAGAGACTTCAAGTGAAGAAGTGAGCCCTTAGCCAAAGGTCACAAACCTATGAAAAAGGACAATTAGACTTGTGGCCATCATTAGATTAATACATTATAGCCAGGCCCAAATATTTCTATTAACTTTCATAAAAGTCTGTCTAGAAATAGGCCTATTGCTAGTCATAGCTCTGTAAGCGTAGTGACACTTGGATTCATGGCTATGTGTCTCACTCTACACTGCATAAAATATGACATTTCTCTGTTTTACAATCTCAAATTGTCAGGTAGCTAGGGAGTAAATCTGCGATTTTCAAAAGAGTGTGAAGAACCAAGGTGTCCAAATCCTACTGAATTTCAAAGGAATCTAAATGTCAGACTCTGTCCAGCTCTTTAGAAAATGCCCAGCTTTGCTTCAAAGTGTCCAATCTGGTCTCCCTAAAGTTTGTTCTGCCATTTTCTTCAATAGCAAAACAGATATGCTATTTGACTAGTGTTCTCCTAATGCCTGAGGCCCAGAGCTACACAGATACTCTGGGTTTCGGACTCCTGTCCCAGGTGCCCTCAGCCTCACTATGATCAAGGATTTGCACTGGGGGAAAAGTTTGCTGTGAGTGAGGTGATAAAGTACTCTTGTGGATGTGGGCTTACACTCTACTAGGAGATACTGGATTAAATGATAGCTCTATCGCTGAATATTGCTGTGAATTACAGTCCATCTGTTAAGGTGGTAGATGCCAACAGCTTTGCTTTCATGATACCAAGAAATGTTGCTTAAAACATATTTGGGAACTTAACATCCCATATTTGGTGGGGTTTTCAGGTTACAGCGAGGCATTTGTAGCAGAAGAAAACTGGCCAGGACAGGCTATTGCTGAGGTATCCTTTAGAGGTTCAGTGAAGTACTAAATGAACAATTTTTCTTTTGAAAAATCCAATGTTTCAATTTGTCCTGCATATCATAGTCAGTTATTATAAAACTCTGCTTTTAAATTTATGAAGTGAGCAAACAATTTGGAAAAACCCTGCCACTTCACCTTGATTCCTAAAGACAGAAAAATGAGTGAGCACAGGGGGATCTGGCCCACAGTGCAGGTCTGTGTCTGCTGCCCCATTGGCCACCTTCACTCAGCACTTGAGTAAGTGGTGCTGCTGTTTCAAGTGGGTTTCAGAAAAGAGATGGAAGACAGAACAAGTGAAATATTCATTTAAAGAAATACAAAAATTCTTTCAAGCTTGTTTCTAGTCTCTATGCATGCCTAAGAAGTACTAGCTGCTGGTACATTGCAAATTGTGTTACAAATTTTGGACTATTACAGAGAAAAATTTGAAGCAGTAAAACAGGACTGATAACCCTAAGGGATGTGTTTTCCCAGTTTTGATCACAGATTTCCATTTATGTTGGATGGTTCAGAAAAAAAAAAAGGAGCATAAAACCTGTAAACACAAGCCCTACTCAAAACAACTAGATAAAAAACAGCTAGTGCCAAGAAGCTTGGTTGTTGTTTTCTTGGTTTTGAGGTGATTTTCTTCTAGATTTAGTGTAATTTTGTCGTTTGAGGACTCGCTGATCCCAGTATCTTGCTTTGTTACGAATTCGGGGCTGGCTACACGTGAAGCAGCACTGAGTCTGTATTGACGGCAGCAAGCACTTGCCAATGCCTTTCAGCCTCTGGCAGAAGCGAACTGACAGTTGGTCTTTGCTGCAGGGTAGTCCTATGGTGGAGAAGATGAGAAGAATTAGCTATATTTTGCTGACAAATTATCTGTATTTCTAGAATTTTAAACTGCTTTATGCCAGACAGTCATGCCTGTTAAGGCTCTTATTTATGATGGCTTTCTCTTCCTTTGTATTATGGGTCAGCTTGATCCCCCTGAAATTTTAGGACTTTTAAGTGAAGAGGTCCTGTTAAACTTCACACGACCTTCTGTCTTGGAAAATACAGCTCTCTTATTACCATTCAGCGAGGCCTTACTTTTGCAGCAGACATAGCTGATCTATGTTTTTCACTTTAATGTTTCTGCTTTTAAGAAGTACCAGAGAAAGTCTAGCAACAATGATTTGTGAGTCTGGTACTTTCACGTTCTTGTAATAGTGCATTTAAGACAAGCGCAATGGGCTGGCAGTGTGCTGCAGAGCCATGCAGGGCAGGCAGAAGAGTGTAGACAAGGCACGTGCAACTATATGTTCAGCTTGACAATGCTTCAATTTCTGCAGCACCAAAATAAGCCAGGGACTGGTACTGTATGTATTATGGTGCTGATAGGTATGTGGTAGCTTTAATAAAATGAGATGTGTCAGATTTAGTTAGATATTACAAAATGGGGGACCTCAGCTGCGAGAAGAGATGGCTAGGGGGAGAGTCAAGGTTTGCAAAAGCAGGAAGGTGGTGGATTAGCTGACTGCAAGGCTGTTGTTCAGCAAATCCCTCAACACTGGAACTAGGGAAACTCAATGGAACTATAAAGGTAGTTTAAAACAGATAAAAGAACTTCTTTTCACAGCAGGCTGTGAACCTCTGGAACTTGCTGCCACAGGAGAGGGTGGAAGCAGACAGCATTGCAGGGTCAAAAAGGGATGCAACATATTCATAGAAAAAGTTCCATAAATTTAAACTAAAAGGCACTGAAAGGGGTGCCTTTAATAGCTCTAAAATGCCAGTTGGGAGTGCTGGAGGAATACCGTGGAAATGAATCACAGGAAAGGACTAAACTCCTGTATTCTCCCTAAGTAGCATCCTCTAATGCCGTTGCTGGAGACACAATATTGGGCTGCGTGGACCACTGGTCTACCCAGTAGGGCATTTCTTATGTTTTACTGGCCCCTTGAGATTTTATTCACAGAAATAACTATTACTAATCTGTGTAGGTAGTATTTATCTGAGTCTGTCTTTCTGAACATGAGAGGGACAGGAGATAAGCAGACCAATTCAACCCTAGGGCAAAACATGTGCTAAAGATCTTTGAACAGCAGGAGGAGTGATGCATCACTTTCAAGTGTATGCCAGATCTGCCCTGCTCTCAGGAGTCAACCTCTTGTCTCGTTGCCAGATTCGACCTGTGCTTTTGACTTGTGAGAGGGAAGAATCCTCCTCCAAAAGGCCTTTGAAGGCTCTTCCAGAAGGACTCTGAGCTGTTGCTGTTCTTACCTGAGGGTACCTGCTGGATACTGCAAGTACACAGACTACAGATAAAGATACCCTTCCGTAAGCTTCCTCCCTCCCCTGCCACTTCTTTTCTGGGCTATTACCATCTACACAACTGGGCTCCTGGGCCCTTGAAGGAGAGAGGTACAGGACACCCTGAGTCACAAGAGGACTTCTCTCCACCTCTTCATTTTGGAGACAGCGTCACCCTGTGGGACACCGAATTCATAGTGCCAAGATTGTATCTGGGTTCACTGCCAGTCAGATTTTTCTTACAGTGTCTGTCTCACTTTGCTTGCTTGCACTCCCAGTCCAGAATTTGAAGTTCCCATAGGGGTATCTGTCTTAAGAAATGGCATCTGTTTGGACTCGCAACATGTCTTTCCACAGCCCTCAAGGCAGCCTGTGAGTTACCTAAAACAGGTCAATACAAGCAGACCTATTCATTTAGTTGTGGCATCATAAATTAGGGATGCAGGCTCAGAGAACTGCATTCCCCATCAGGGCCAGTAGGGCTGGAGAACCTGACAACATGATTCTACCAACAGCGCAGCTGAGCAGTAGCAGGTTAGGCTGACCTATAATTACTGAGCCTGTAGTATTCACAACAAGCTGATACATTGGGTCAGCTTCCAGTTTTTGCAGAATCTCAGCACAAATGGAGAGCTCTTTGGAAACTGTCTGATGCAAGTGTATTATCATACCTGTACTTTTCCTGCACTCTTGCAGATTGCATTTCTGAATCTCTGTGGGCTTGGGTTTATCCACACACGTACTGTCATCTTCCGTTTCATTAGTTTCTGTATTCATGCACTTCACAGTTCTTTGCTGAATGCCCCCTCCACAAGAAACAGTGCACTGAAAGAGAGTAATTTTAACATATATAGAAGTCTTTTACATGGAAATTGTGTAATATGCCAATATTTGAGCTGTTTGAGCACATTTGACAGAAAGCTAAAAATGCTGTATGATCCAGAACCAATGACACTAAAGTACTTTGTGTACTGCATTCTCCATCCAGACACCTCCATGGTGCATTGTGGCCAGATTTGGCAGGATACAGTGGAGGGGTAAATAGTACAAATGCAGCATCTTGCAATGTGTAACCATGGTAAGAGGACTGTTTTCTATGGAGGAGGAGGATCTGTAATGCCAGTCCTACAAAGTAAGAGAGTAGTAATCCAAATTAGTACTGCACACTGACATTTTTTGTTTCCTGTGTTTTCTCACCATCTAAATTAAACATGAATAATCAATTGCAATGTTAGGTCTAGAAATGACCAAGCTGAAGATTTCAAAAAATCTCAGTGAGATGTTTTTTCTTTGGTGACATTTACACTGTGGTTACCCTTTCTTTATGACCACAAAACAATTGCCAGCTGCTTGTTCTGATGGCACATAGATGGCCATAAAAAAAGAACATTTTCCTGTACTATTCTGTAAATGTACTTAATTCTTCCGACATCCCAGAGCATCTGAGAATTCCAGTTAATTTTAAATTCTTTTTCTCTTCAGATAAATAGTGGCCAGCAAGATAAATACTTCAACAGACAGAGAATGCCAGCTAGTGCTGAAGACAGGACTGGTACCTAATACCTAATTTTCTGCAAATTATCCTCTTTCTAATGTATATGTCTGTGCATAAGACACAATATTACTGGTATGAAGTACATTAAAAGATCTTAGGTACTCCTGCGGCAACTTTAGATTAATGTTTAAAATAGTTTTTTTATAAAGTAAAATAAATGGGATTAATAAATCAGAAAAATAGTTGCTATACATTTTGGTATTCAGTTGCTTATTTTATGCATGTCCCAACATTTTCACTTCCATATTTAAGTGTTAGAGTTACACTAACTCTACATTACATTATACTCATATCCCATCTAATGGCTTTGTCTGAAAACCAACTCATTAAATTTCTGTGTTAAATGACTCTCCGTTATTTCCTTATTTGTGGCTCCTGCCTTTTGGTGTACTTTCAACATTCTCTTCTGCTGTGAGGACTATTTGTAATGTATGAATAGGTTTGTTAAGGAAACTGGAGGGAAAGGTTTATTAGATATACCAGTTTCTTTATGATTAAACATGTATTGCAGAAACTGGAAGGTTCCCCAAAGATACACCCCATGTTTGTCAATTAGAGTTCCAGAAGCCAAAGTAGAGGGCTATTGGTCAAAATTCAGAATTTCTGTTTGTGTGGGCAAGTCCAATATTGCACAAAGTTGCTTTAAGGGTCACCCCCCAACCGCTCAAAAAATAGTCTGGAACAGTAAAACATTACAATAACTGGAGAGGCTCTGGAAGCACAGACAAATCAAACAGCCTGGTTGTACTTGGAAGGATTCAGCTAGGCATGTTGTCAGGGACTTTTATTAGCAATTCAAGCTTTTCCCTCCCTCTCTAAAGATGCTCGTCCTGTCATCCTCTTGAAACGTTACCTGATTCTATATCTAACCGAACATGGTTGAATTTACTACCCAGTAGCCTCTTCCAGTGGAAAACTTCAAATTTGTAATGGAAGAATGTCAATGGTAACTCCTTTTTCATTAGAAAAGGAAAAAAAACCCACAGCCCTCCATCCAACTACATCTAATGCCTCAACAAAAAGTAAAAGCTACAATGTCTATCACCTGAAGGAACTGTGTTGGCCTGGCTCTGAAACGTTTAGTAATATTTTCAAAAGATCTTCTTTTGTAACTCCAGCTGTGCATAAGAAACTATACTTGCCATAGGCACTGAGGTTCACAGACAAGTGGATAATACGACTAAACATGGCCAACTCAGGACAACAAATAAAACAAAAAAGAACTGAATCCTACCGGGCCCCATGCCTGGTTAATCCACTGCGTACAAGGCTGCCTGTTACATGATGCAATGGCAGTAGGTCTTTTTGTCCAGTCACAGTAGCCGCCTTCTGGGCAGTAGATATGTCGCTTTCGCTGGCCCCCACCACATGTTCTCGAACACTAACAAAAGAGGTGCACAAACGCATGAGGAGAGAGGTGGGAATGGATGACAACCCAGAAACAGACCATAAAGACAGTAGGAAATGTTCTTTGTTTAGAAATGTGGAGCCACAGGTAACAAGAAGCATGTCACTGACCCATGTGATTTAGAAAGATGTACAGGCTAGCCTGCATATCAAGTATTACAGTCCCAATATGAAGAAAAGCTCTTCATATTGGGAACTGAGACATTTATTTCATCATATGCTTGGAAAGAGACAGGGAAGAAGCCATTATCGGTCCAAAATACTTGGGGGAAAGCTGTTCCTGACACGTATTAATGCAAGGAATATAGGACAGCGTGGAAGTGGCAACATAGAACAGGCAACACAGAACTGCTCATGCAGCACCACTGGCAACAGTAACTTCTCCAACAAGAATGAGATTGGAAGTTACGTGTCTGCAGGATTAATCTGTTACATTTACTGAAGACAGTACAAGTGCATGAGGTGCAACGTCTCATTTTTATGAGGTGGCTGGGGACATTGAAATTCACCCAATCCATACAATAAATTAACTGTTCGGCAATAAAAGCATCATACAAAGACAGTGACCCAGGTTATTTTTTTAAACATTTTTTTGTCCACATTCTAGTATTACTTACCAACTGATCTTTTACTATTATTCACTAGCTCTGCAGTAAAGCCTGCTTGAAATACACAAAAAAATTTGTACTCTGACATGAAATAAGATACCAGATATACTTTGCATAATGCCTTGTTCCTGTCCTACAAGGAATTGCATCCCTATGGACATAGGACCAGAGCTGACATCTGATAAATGAACCTTTTCAATCCAATTCTATCCAGTATCCTTAGCATGAGAACAACTGCCAGGGTTGAACAAGCGTTTTTATAAAATATTTTAAGTGGCAAACGGGTGCAATCATTTGGCTACTCTTATTTTTTCAGCCCTTGCTGACTGCTCTGACTGGAAACCCACATCCTGGTCTCCTCCTTACGGCAGGGGTGATTTGTCAGTGGCCTGTAAGGAAGCAATGTGATCACCTCCCTTGAAATCCAAAAGCATCAGGTCCACAGTGCCGCAAACATTGTGGCGCTTTCTCCAAGGCTGCTTTTAGTGGGAGTAAACACTAAAATGTAGTCAGACCATGTGCTTTAGCTGACATAAATATGTGCCTGGCTGCCTATGAGTTTGTTGGCACAGATTTATATTACAAAGTGACCCAAACGTCAGATTTATCTTACATCTGATCTCAGTCTCTGGCCCCATAAAATTGCAGCCCAAAAGTGTAAAGGACAATTCTGAATTAATCATGATGACAAAGCAACATTAAAATGGCAGCAAAAGGGATCAGTCTGAATGAATCACATTTACTGATCCAGTAGGATAGCTAAAATAAATCTTCTTCCAGGCCATCTGCTTCTCTCTTTCAGGGTATGGTAATTTACAGCTCTAGCTGTGTATCACATGCAACCTAAGAATGATTCTGGGAAGTCTAACGAACGTCTGTGATAATTTTTGCTGTAACCATGCACAAGGTCTGCAGAGCCTCTGAGTGGTCCTAACTCCATGTCTTCGTTTGAGAGAAAGTTTACCTAACAGCATGGGATCTAACAGCCACCGCTAACTGACAACTAATTGTTCATTCCCAAAGCTTCTTTTAAAGAACAATACCTCATTCCAGGGCTCCACACGCCACTGCAGGCAAGGCTCCACATTACAACTAGTGTTGAGTTGTGGCTTATATCCAAGTAATTGGCAATGAAAAGGCCTTAGAAGTCGCTTTTCACGAACATCAATGCAGTGAAGATCTCGGGTCTTGAAACCACCGTTGCAGCTAGCGGAGCACTGTACACAGAATAGAAAGGGGTACATCTCCAAATTATGTTCTGCTGAGCAGCTGTCCCTTCCCCAGTCACAGAGGAAGAGGACAGCCTGAGCTTTGAGCATCCTGACTCACAGAGGGAATTTCCAGTTTACCATAACAACAATCCATTGTTAGATTTAAAAACTGTGGTTTTCATCATAGCAAATCAGAACACACCACACAAATATTTCCCTTTCTTCACTGGAACATCCGTTAATAACACAAATGCATATTTAATTAGGAAATCTTGCCAGTTATTTCCAAAATGTCATAGTGAAAGAGTCATAATGCAACAAATAGAATAAACAAATCCTGTATGTAGGGAAATTGTCAGTTGTTTCTGGGGGAGGAAGGGAGGAAAGAGGCACAGCTGCATAAGTTGATTTCTCATTCAGCCATGGGAGAGGTCAGTGTCCATGGCAGCAGATTGCTTAGGCTGGCAAAACTGCTCCTCATCTTAGCCCCTAGACTTGAGCTGCTGCGGATACCACTGGGAGATGGTGGACTCATCACACAGCAGCAGTTCCCACCTTCACCTTCCTCGCTTCTTCGTGGCACCAGGAGGATCCATACCCCAAGAGCACCCCGGGTGTGAGAATGGGAAAGAAGAGAGAGAGACCATGAGCCTCACTCACTGCCTGTGAAATCGCTTCTCAGCTTAGAGCACTACTGGCGAGCCCTTCCAGTCTTCTTCTCAGCTTAGAGCACTACTGGCGAGCCAAGCGAGCCCTTCCAGTCTCGTATTTCTCCCCAGAGTTTGCTCCAAGGCCTCATGCAGCAGGACCAGGTTGTGTCCCCACCTAACCGAAGCCCCAGACCTCTCCTGCTGCTGAGGAAGAACTGAATTTGCTACTCGAGGATAAGGACAAATACACATTTAATTATTTTGCCTTCATCCAGGATTAAAGCCAATTCTACCGACACCACTGAATAACCTCAGATCAGCTTTCATCTTTACCGCCGTGATGCAATATAACAACTGATGCTGTTCTCCTTTGCATAAATCAGCATTCTTCAGTTGAACAAGGAAACTGAATATAATACTTCCCCAGGGAGCTGAAGGATGGATGGAAGGGGAGTCCATGCTCTTGTTCACAGAAGCTTCTGTCCCTCTGGATAGAAACAATGGACAGAAGTGACTGTGCAAGAAACTGAGTACACACAGCCCCAAAATATGTGCAAATTGTATTTGGTATTAAACTTAGACTATAAGGTCCAGCCTGAAGCATCTTTCTTTTTGAGGAGGGGAAAAATTAGGTAAGAGAAAAGGAACAGAGAAAGTTTACTACACTAGCAGGGGAATGTAGCCATCTTGCTGTGATAAGGTGACATTAAAATGTTTGAAACAAGTAATGAGAAAAACAATTGCCACTTGCAAAAGCAAACAAGAAATAGCCATTTTTATATATGAAATTGTAATCAGGTTTGTATAGTTCAATTGCTGGAAAATAAGGGTGGCTAACACAACAGAAATCTGCTAGGAAAAGACTTTTGTCTCCAATTGGCCTCATAATTAGACTGACACTTTAAAACATTTGTTTCCTACAATATTTTATCATTAAACTGATTTCTAGCTACTTTCTGTGATATAACTATCATCCACTTGTTGCAAGAGCAGTAACATTTATGAAGAAAAAGTGAAGGTGAAATATGCCCTACTGCAACTGGGACTGCAGAATGTCTATCTATGATTTAAAATGAATTTCAAAGGCTTAAATGTGGTTATGTAATGCCTTGGCCTTTCCTGGACTTTCTAAAGAGTCATGTATGTCATGTACAAATCAATTCTATGTCAAAGAGCTCAATAATATAACACAGGTTTTGTAACTATAACCTTTTCTTTGTATGAATCTGCCCTCTAGTTCAATGGCAACAACATTGTCCGCAAAAATGATATGTATTGAGAAAGTTTGAGACCTATCTTTTTCTTTATTAAGTCAACATTATTTCAAATAGAATTTTGTAGTTTTTCTCTTTTGAGTCTTGAAAAATAACCCACCGTTTGAAGCCCCAATTTTAGACAGTGTGAAGACAAAATGTAACAAGCTTCAAGAAGTCACTGAAGTCCTTCCAGGTGTTCGTCACACATCGTACAATACCAAAAAAGAACTCAAACACAATTCCTTGGGTTCCACTTACTACCTTGGACACTCTCCTGTCTCTTGGCTAGGCCTGTATACATAACTAGTACCAAATAAGACTGTAGCCATAGCAGCCATTCTCCCCAGTACATTTTTCTTTAGTTTTTATAATGTAAAACTTAGAGATTACATGAATGGGGAACAGACCATGTCACATAAGGTAATACATGGTGGCAAGGGTGAATAGGAACATGCCAACTCCCTCTCCCGAATTCCCACTTGCTTCTTAAAATTAGGATATGCCTCTGGAGGCAGAGATCAAAAAGATGCCACATGCAAATATGTACAGCTTTGCCCTAGGATCTCCACAGAAAATGCATAGTGAGCCCTGCTTTAGCTCTAGATGCAAAAGTTAATGAGTATGACCCCCACACAGGAAGAACAGAACTCATGGCAGATGCGTTTCCATAAATAACTTAGTCAGGAAATTAGTAAATTAGTGCTGAATGGTCAACTGGGAATCATGTATGCATTCACTGAGTAAATAATTATTTTTAAAATGAAGTATTTAGAACTCCCTACTGTTTGAAGTTAGCAAGCTTGCTGTTCACACACAGCTCTGAATGAAGTTACCTTGCTCCAATTTCCTGTTTTCCAGCTAGCACATGGGCGGAGATAACATTTTCTTGCAGGATCAGGCTTTTTCATGTGCTGACAGTGAGATGTGTTCCTGCTGCTGCACTCCACGTGTCTCCAGAAAGCCCCCATTCCACAGGTGGTAGAGCACTGCACAAGGGTGAGAGGAAAGCCCAGGGGCAAACTCAACGTTAGTAAGTCATTCTGGAAACAATCCAGGAACCTAAATATAAATATCTAGAGCCATTTTAGATGACCTGGTTTATCTGAGATACTCAAAAGAAGATTTCAAGTTCACCTAAGTCTTACTTAAGGTTCTGAAGGAGGTGTTTTTGTTGCTTTGTTAAGAAAATAGCAATTCTGATTTATACTATGCACTGCTCTTCTTTGGCAGACTCCTGCTTACTGAGACATTCTGAATCTGTACCAGGTGTTCCACTGTTTCCTTCTGTGATCTTCGGGGATCCAAGGCAAAATGTCATTGCATCCAATCTTAAGCACTGTTCCCTCTCTATCCCTAATAGTGCTGATGAGATATTCAGCAAACTGAGTGCATGATGCTGAAAATCTGAAATAAAATATGTGAGAGACTTGGGAAAACTGTGCAGGAAAAGGATTTTTGAAATTCTGAATTCCAAGAGTGACTAAGTGTTTCCAACATTTGGGAGGATTTTAGTGTCTGAGGTAAGAGAACTGATCATGCCAGTCCAGATCCCAAGAGTGCACTCTTCACCAAAAAAATCACTATCATTGTATTCTGAAGCAGGAAGAGGTGAAAATTGACTGGAGACACCCATTTACCTTTTTCTCCCTTAAAAAGGGAGGGACAGTGAACTACATGCGTAGAGTCAAATCCAACACACGCCAAGCAGCCTGCAGCTGGCATGAGAAACAGCATAAATAATCTTGGATTAAGTCAGCAAAATGATGAAGAGGGCAACTGCTATTGTGTGGTTTGAACTCCCTACACGGAAGTGGGAGAGTAAAACAGGGAAAGCTGAGTAAGTGTCTTTGGAAAGATAAGGAAAGCTAAGCTGAAGCTAAGACAGGGAAAAAAACCCATTGAAGACATGGAGCTGTTACCAGATTCAATCAGAGAAATGGAAAAATGGTTAATGGTCACAACAAAGAATTTTTGAAAAATTGCACATTATAAAGAGTGTGAATCTGCCAGGCCTCTGCAACATGCCATCTCTAGCTTCCGAGATTCGTGGGACATCTGTCCAAGAGGCCACAAAGATCCTGTTAAATGGGACTGCATACCACTGTTCAGTTTTGTGTAGTCACATATCTGTCCAAGACAACGTGTCTGTTCAAGAGGATGGACTGTCCTTGTCTTGGTGGCTGACTGTTTGATGGCTCCCCCCAGCCCTGCTATACCAGTCTGACAACACCAAGACTTTATTGAAGGGATGCTTCATGAGATTGAAGGGATGATTCATGAGAAGACCAAAGATAGCTCCAGGGATGATGCTGGGCAGATCATACTTACAAAGCTTTATGTTCTTGTCTGAGGGAGGTGAAACACAGCAGGATTCTTTCAAAAATTGTTGTTTTCAGGTACAGAGCCAAGAGAGAAAGGCATGATGCTGTAAATAGTACTGGGAGAAAGCTTTAGCTTTCTTGACTACTGTTTCATGTTACATAAATGAGACCAATTGCTCTGAAGTTCAGGAAGACTTATTGCTTTTCCCTTTTGTCATTCAGGAACCAAGACTTCCTCTTGTCACAGTAGATGTCTATTACAGAGGAAGAAAGTGCAGGTGACTTTTCATGACCAATAACAGAGGTGCAGAATGAGCAGAACTGGTGGTAAAGGGTATCTTTGGTCGCCATAAAGCTCTTAGAAAGGGAAAAGAGACAGCCCAGAATGACCTGGGAAATAGTGGGAAAGAAGTTAAAAGTTACAGACAGAGACACCAGTGTCAGTGGGCACTGTTTTGCCCTACTCTAATTAGTGCTCTCCCTTGGGAGGTAAGTGTCAACAGCGTTATGGGACATGTCACACCAATCCATCTCAGTGACTATCACTATTCTTGGGCAATATTTATTTACTAGTATAGACGCATCCTAAGGAGCAAAGAAATGTCAGAATATTGGCAGTCAGTAAAAGAGAAAGATAGAGAGTAGAGCAAGAGATTCAACTAGGTAGATGCAACGGTCTTGAGGTATCAATGCCTTGGAAAGATGTCATCTAAAAACAGGCACAAAGTTTTACTAAGGCCAGGTAAATAAAAAGAGCAAAAATAAAGTCAGGCAATTGTAGACTAAAAATGAATTAACAGTAATGAACAATAAGAAAAGGTTCTGTGAATGTTAGAATCAAGGTGTGGGGAGGAAATACAAAACTTTTATTTTATGAGAAAGATAATAGCTGACATATTTACAGAATCACAGAATGGTTGAGGTTGGAAAGGACCTCTGGATGTCATCTTGTCCAACCCCCCTGCTCAAGCAGGGCCACCTAGAGCCAGTTGCCCAGGACCATGTCCAGATGGTTTCAGAATATATCCAAGGACAGAGATTCCACAAATTCTCTTTTTCACCACCTTTTCTTCTTCAAACTTGAAAAAAAAAAGTTAAATGTGCCAGGCTTCACATAAAGTTAATTTTAACAAGAAACAATAGCTTGAATGCAAAAGATTACTAAAACACTAAAGAATAGTAAAGTAAGTTAGATGCATTAATTATCCTTAAATTGATTTCATCAGTTCTGTGAAACCAAATGTATTGACCTTACCTCAGTATTCATTCAGGTGTTCTTGAATAATCTTTGAACTGTTGCAAATTATTTTTTAAAATAGATTGGGAAAGTCCCAGAGGATTAGAGAGGAACATCTTTCAAGTTATCTTTAGGAAAAGAAAAAGGCAGATCTGTGGACTAATAGAACACTTGACCTAACTTTACTTCACAAGAAGATACAAAAGCAAATTATTAAAAAATCAAGATCAAAATGGTAAATACTAACAAAGATGATAAAGCAATAAAACAGCCTACATGGACCTATCTAGAACAAATTATTGAAGTCAATCTAATATCAGGTCTCTGAGCAACCTGATCTAGTTGAAGATGTCCCTGCCCACGGCAGGGGGGTTGGACTAGATGACTTTAGAGGTCCCTTCCAACCCAAACCCTTCTCTGACAGGCGTGCCTGGCTTAATGAAAATAGAGAGCCAGCTGATGTGATGCACTTTGACATCATCTCATAGACCATTCTTCTAGCAAATGATGGAAATATGGTCTAGGTGAGATAATTACAAGATTGGTGCATAGCTAACTGAAAAACTGTAATAAAGTAGTCCTCAGTGATTCAGTGTCAAAACGAAAAGACATTTCAAATATGGTCCTGCAGGGCTCTGTCTATAGCCAAGCTCTCTTCAGTATGTTCATTAACTAACTGAATGATGAAAGACAGCATGCACTTATAACATTTGCACATGACGCCAAGTTGGGAGAGTTGGCAGGAATGTTGGAGGACACAATGTGAATTGAAAAACATCTCACCAAGTTGAAAAATTGTAAGAAAACAGTAACCTGAAATTCAAAAACATATGCAAAATCCTACATTTAAGGAGAAATTTTTATACATGTATATATACATATATATACACACACACGCATGCACACAGATATATACACACCCCAAACAAAACTGAGAACATCTGCTGATCTAGAAACACTGTATTAAGGGATCCGGGGTTTACAATGGACCACAAATTGAATAAATCAAAGTGGGACAGTTACAAAACAAGACAAATCTCATCTCAACATTCACAAAGAGGGTCATACATAAAATGATAGTAATTATTCCATTTTATTTGCCAGGTGTCAGCTGGGGCCATAATGAACATCACTGATGAAGGAATATATGATGAAACTGAGCAAGTCCATAGGAAAACAACAAAGTCACCAGATATTTAGAAAACACAAGGAAAATATGAAAAGAACCAGATTGTTTTGTTTAGAAAACAGACCCAAAAACAGTTATTAAAAAGACAATTATCTTCCATGGTCTGCATATAAAAAATAGAATTTTCGTTTTCAGTGCAGAAAATGTTGGTTATGTATAAGGAAAATATTTCTAATGCAGGTAATGAATGACTAGGACAGACTGCAGCATTTCTGTACTCTAGACTTCTGTTCAGGATGTGCTGGGCTTGGAAGCACAACCTTTGCCTGGACTTTCTCTTGCAGGCTCTTTCACCCAAGCAGATGTAAATGAAGGTCTTTGGGCATGTGCAGAAGGAAATGCTTCACTTGTCCCACTTGAACATGGGAAGCTAAAGCCATTCTTACCTGGCCATGGGAAGGCACAAGATGAAACTTCAGACTGCCATCAGGAGTGCATGTCCTGAACAACTGCTGATGTGGTGGTGACAGAGCAGAGGTGTTACCCACTGGCTGCATCCAGACAGAGGGCACCAACAGGATCTCGGTGGCCTAGCTGTGCCTCCACTGCCGTGGGATACACTAAGTCATCTCTTGCTGTCCTTTTTAGCCCTGCTTTTCTGCATTTCCATTAATTTGCAATATTCCAGGCAGACCCGAGAGCAGACAGGTACAGAGAAACAGACCTTTGATAGCCTTCTCCATCAATACTGAGACACAGAGGCAGATCAGTGCAAAGAGGTTTCCAGGTCTGGACCTTTGGCTGTACTGATTAGCTTGGTTAAAAAAGGCCATCAGAGAAATGAGGTAACTTGTTCAGATACCAAAATCTCTCATTTTAGGTATCATGATTTGAAGAATATAAAATCCATTAGCATAAAAAGAACTCTGTTTACATAAAAATAGAATTTTACAGTGGGAAGGATTTTAAATACAAGTTCATTCTATATTCTCTTATTATAGTTGCTAGAATTAGGTGGTTGCCCCCTCACCAGCCCTGACCCCACAGAAATTACTATCTCAGGCCACAGCAATCTAACAGCACAGAAACCTAGCTGTCAAAAAGCCTCGTGCTAGGTATTGGTAAAAGAAAGTCAATAGCAATATACAAAAAATAGTAAGCACTTTTCTGAGGCCATAGAAAACTGCAATCTATATTACTCCTGCACAGAAGAAATTACCCAAGTATTATAAACATTGAGTAATGACCAAGGATCAGGGAAAACTGGGACAAGTCATCTTGTCATCTTCAAGACCAAGTATCTTCGAGATGCTTTACACCTCAAAAGAGTTTTCAAACTCCCTGTACTTGTTTCATTTACTCAAACAGAAAGACAGAGCTATTGAAAGTGAGTATTACAAGATGTTAACACCTGTTTTGATTGAATTTCATTACCATTAGAAATTAAAAAGTTCATTTTGGCACAACCATTAATGCAGATAAAATAACTGTTCATTTCTACATTCAAACAAGACATAGTATAACACTATTATCAGCTGCTGTATCCAAAGATACTGTACAACCACAACCACTGACGATTCTAACTTCTATGCCAACCAGACAAAATGCTTTTACTTTACCACTACTACAACCCAGTTCCAATATACGATCACCTAAACTTCAAAAAAAGGTGCAGAACTCCATGTTACAACGTCTCCCCATGGACATGTGCTGGACAAATTATGAACCCCGGATATACCAGTTTAACTTTGGACTAATTCTTATCTTTGCTTTGTAGACTCAAACTGGTTTTACCAGGCAGAATGCTGCTCTGAGTTCGGACATATTTGCTTAATGGTGGATACAAACACCAATAATGGGATGAGATAGAAAGGCACTACAAAAACATGTTATGTTAATAGCCAACTAAAAATATGTTTAAGTATCCATGTTATTAATGCACTTTATACAGTAATAAAGCTAGCTTACCTACATGACCCTGGTCACATGCTAAGTTAGGAAACACACATAATTTAGAGAGAAATGATATGTAAGTGAAGGTTAGAACATAATAGCACATGTACAGCTAACTTGTGTTATGTATTCGGAAATACAAGCATAGTCATTTGGTGTCTCCAGGATTCATCTAATAGCTTAATTTTTTGCTGTGCCCTAAAACAAAACTCTTGAGGTATTTCTGATAATAGTCAAACCTGAATGTCATATCCCTGGAAGAGTTATGCATAGTTTTGCAGAATCCATAAATACAGACACATTCTATGTAAGCATTAGATACTCCAAGTTACTGATTTTTTTGTGTGACAAGTATTTCATCTGAATGTATGATACTCATTTCAGATAATTGCAACAAACTAAGAAGCTTTATTTCCTCAACAGTGGTTCAGGCAGCTGTTCACACTCTCCACTCCTTACGAGTTAAAAGTAACTTACCTCACTCCAGTTGCCTACGATCCAGTAGGTATCACCAGGCAAATTGTTGGATGTTATTAGGTGGCTGTTTGGTGTGACATTTGTCAAAACCCCCTCAGATGTTGCACTTTGGTTCCTGAGAACATGCTCGAGAGCTGACGATTGTGTGCTGGAGGTTATGGTGTCGAGTAGCTTCATTTCTCTTCTGTTGTCAGCCAGGTCTCTCGGTACATGACCAAACACTGTGGGCATTACTGTAACAGATGTTTCTTGGGTAGTTACTTCTACAACAGGCACATCAACTTGCAGACTGGTATAGTTTGCTGCTGTTGGAGATGCCAGTCCTTGTGCTGTTGTGCTAACAGGAAGGAGCGTAGAAGGTTCTCGGTGATGAGATGCAGGGGTGGGCTGAGAAGTCACACTCTCATTTTGAAGGACAGGAGAGCCAGTATCTAGGGTTGTGCTCCTGGTTCTGATTTCAGGATTGAGTTCTGTGCTGTAAAGGAGATCAGTTGGTTTCTCACTGCCTCCAACTGACCCATCAATGTCGTCAGATTCTTCAGTTAAGTAATCATAGCTGGAAGTTATTTCTGGACTACTGGTAAAAGAGGAGACAGGAGTGCCCTCACTTCTTAGCACCTCACTTTCTACAGTAGAAACTGCCTTCCTTTCAGAAATATTTTCAGCATGTCTTATAATTTCAGTACTTAAGCTGTTATGAAAAGGCCATGAAGTAGTATTTTGGTGTGAACTATTTTCAGTAGAAACAACCGGGTAATTGTAAACATCACTTGGTCCAGAAAAATTGTTTTGTAATGTTTTGTTGGCTGTTCCTTTTTTTTCTGAGACATTACCCAAACCAGAGGATGTAGGCAAACAGGGAGTTACACTTTCAGGCTTAGGTATTTTTGTTGTTGTATGGGACCTTGGGTTTGGTATGGGTATTCTGCGAGGAGGACTCCATTCAGGATTAGTACTTGTTTTTCTGATTATGATCTTTCCTCTTCTGGGTGCCAGGGGGGGTATCAGAAATCTTCCAGCAGAAGGACATTGTTGGAGACCACACAGGGCCTTAGAGTTTGGTCTCTTGGAAGTATCACATGGCTCATCATTATTTTTGGCACAAGTGACATTACGAGTCCTTATTCCACCACCACAAGTAACTGTGCACTGCAAAAAAACCAGAATTAATATATCTCCCCTCTTCATTCTGCTGCACATATCAATAAAAATAAGTATCAAATGGCACCTGTTTATAATAAAGAAGCATCATTATAAATGATCAATAACAAAGCTTTTCCTAAGGAACAAGCCCTCCATTCTAGTGATGTTCTGCTATCATGGAGCTCTTTCCAAGTTTTTAGAACAGTAAATGTCACCTTGGGGAAACAGCAGTGAAAAAAAGACTGCACAATAAAGACAAAATATGGAAGTAATATGCTCGAATTTGATTTCTTCAGTGAATCACAAAAGTTGTTTAGCCAATACCTTTTCTACCAGGGTTATAAAAAACAGACTAAAAACCTGTCATCAAAAACATATCTGACTGGCTCAGTGCTGGTTACTCACAGTGCCACAAACCCACTGTGATCATCCATGCAGCTCACAGATCCTTGTTGACTTTATGAAATGGATTTTTCATTCAGTCTTAGTGCAACCACCACACGTTGCCAGGGCTGCTAGCATGTTTCTCCTAAATCACAGATTACTGAAAATAATTAACCTATCTGGCTTCTATTTAAATGGAAGCACTGTTGTGTATAAAGGCTGCTGGAAGCTAAGGAGACCGAGTTTTTCTGTGATGTTTTTCATCCTCAGGCCCACAGGCACAGCCATGCCTTCAGCAGCTGTCCCTCCACTGAGGACTTTCTGAAATTTCAACACACTTGTCTGGTTTGAGGTACTAAGGCTGGATGACTGCTTGGGTATGAACGGAGATATTACATAAAACCTACTGGAAGAAGTCTTCCTAGGTTACAAGGGAGCCTGACCTAATTCAGCTGGCTTAAACCAGGTGTTCACCATGAAGTGATGAACACTCCTATTACCAGCACTTTAAAACTACTGGAATATCTAACTCTTTCTAGAACTAGTCTAGGTCATGGGGCAGTAGAAACATCAGTGACCTTGTGTTACTGGGGCTCTTTCTGTTGTTAACACCTGTGAAATACCATTAGCTCTGCAGCAACAGAAGCAGGGAGGAAAGCAGAGTAACCTCAGAGTAGGTAAGTTCATTAGCTATTCTGTCTGTCCTCCTTGCACTTCCAGCTGTATAGCACATGTAAAGTACTCAGAGCTATGCAAGTTTACATCAGCTGCAATTTGACCTCTGAAGTTAGTCAGTAAAGGATTTTGCTTACTGAGGAAGATAGCAACTCCTAACACTATGTTGTTGCTAACACAGAAATACAACACACTTATTTTCTCAGACTTTGCCACTTGGATGATTTAGACTAGCATTCATGTGAGTTGAAAGGAACGTCCAAACTCATTAACTTTTTGGGGTAGTGGCTGTCTCCCAGAATTAGCTTTGAAAAAATCTCTGTTTTAGATTACAGCCATGTACTAAAAAGAGATTTCAGAATGGACAAGTCTCCTGACAATCCTGTCATTTGTGCAGGAGAAATAGTCTGTCCTACGCTCCCTCCCCAATTTCGACAGGTGTAGGAAATTTATTTTTGTCAGTAACTCGCAAATACAATCTAATCCAATGACACACAAGCACTGGCTGTATTCTGTAACAGCATGCCATTTCTATATAATCGTACTGCTAGCCATGTAATCCCAGTCTATTTTTTCACAGGCAGTTAAAACATGGTGGCTACTCAATTCACAAAAACAATCAACATTCACTGATGATGGTTTGTGAGCAGCATAAACTGAATTAATACTGTTACAAAATTCTATTAGTTTATTATCTGAATCTGCTCTCAAACACAATAGTGAGTTTGGTAAAAAAAAGTTAGGAGAAAGAAGGGAGAGAAGTTTTCAAAAAGGAAATAGAACAGAATAGAATATTTTCAGTTGGAAGGGACCTACAACAATCATCTAGTCCAACTGCCTGACCAATTCAGGGCTGACCAAGTTAAAGCATATTATTAAGGGCATTGTCCAAATGCCTCTTAAGCACTGACAGGCTTGGGGCATCGACCACCTCTCTAGGAAGCCTGTTCCAGTGTTTGACCACCCTCTCGGTAAAGAAGTGCTTCCAAATGTCCAGTCTAAACCTCCCCTGGGTACCAGGGAGAAGAGCTCAGCACCTCCCTCTGCACGTCCCCTCCTCAGGAAGCTGTAGAGAGCAATGAGGTCACCCCTCAGCCTCCTTTTCTCCAAACTAGACAAGCCCAAAGCCCTCAGCCGCTCCTCACAGGACATGCCTTCCAGCCCTTTCACCAGCTTTGTTGCCCTCCTCTGGAGGCATTCAAGGACCTTCACATCCTTCTTAAATTGTGGGGCCCAGAACTGCACACAGCACTCAAGGTGAGGACGCACCAACGCTGAACACAGCGGGACAATCACCTCTTTTGACCGGCTGGTTATGCTGCGCTTGGTGCACCCCAGGATGCAGTTTGCCCTCTTGGCTGCCAGGGCACACTGCTGACTCACATTGAGCCTGCTGTCGACCAGCACCCCCAGATCCCTTTCTGCAGGGCTGCTCTCCAGCCACTCCTCTCCCAATCTATACTTGTGCCCGGCATTACTCCATCCCAGGTGCAGAATCAGGTGTTTGTTCTTGTTAAGTTTCATCCCATTAATCATTGCTCAATGCTCCAGTCTATCTAGATCCCTCTGCAAGGCCTCTTGTCCCTCAAGAGAGTCAAGAGCACCTCCCAGTTTGGTATCATCAACAAACTTGCTAATGGTGCATTCAACTCCTGCATCCAGATCATTGATCTTGGAAGTTTTGAAAAACTTAGTAAACTTCATTTTTATTGACACCTGAAATGGAAAATATTTGTTGTGCATATGTTGTCATGATTGTCAGCTACACTGATAGCTAAACTGCCTACTTGTGAGGTGAACCATATGCAAGTTGCACTACAATGGAATCAGAATAAAATAATTTTAAAATGTCACATGACTCAAAACCTACTTCTCCCCACTCCAGAAGAAATATCTTAGTGCATTTTTAGTTTTCATGGAGAAGTAGACTGCTCCACATGTTGGGGACCCTGAACTGTCCTTGCCTTCAAGTTGTGAAAAACCTGTAGATACCAGCATCCTAATCTAAAGAAAGCTAAGAAGTGTGAGGTCCTTCCACAGATTAAAGCCTATGACAAAGCACATCAAATGAGTGCTCCCTACTAATACTAACAAACATTGCAGAATATGTTGCAGTATATTTAAACAAATTTAGTATACTGCAGTCATCATTTTGATGACCTCACATTCTGCAGTTCATCAGCTGCCAGTGAAACAACTGCACAATATTTAATTAACTCTTGAAGGATACACAGTTATTCTAGTGTTTGTTAGGGCTTCCGATTAATACTAGAAGTAAAAAGCTTGCATGCTGTGGCAAAAACAGCAGAGTTATGAATGCAAGAGATATGAATGTAAAGAATGTAAAAATGCTTCTTTGTAGGCCTACAGACATGACACAGAGCCTCCCCCCATCTGGTCCACAGCAGTAATGAGTATTACTCAGATTTTTAGCACGCAAGCACACTCTGTTCTACAGTCCCAAAAGCTCAGCAAGCCAAACCCCTAGAAACAGTTAACACGCAACACCTGCTTAGGTCTTTAGCAAGCAGGGCAGCTTTTCTTCTTCTGCACAAAGGATTTGTGAAGACATGTTAATAAAAAAAAAAATTTAAAAAAGGGAAAAAAGCAGGTCATTGGTCCTCTCTGCTGACTGTAATAAGTAATTTTGAAAAAAATGTTCAATATTAGTTGGCATGAATTTACCTCAGTCCAGTTGCTCACTGTCCAGTCAGACGGGCACAAGACATCTCTGTTGCATGACAGTTGGGTCTTTGGTTTAAGCAGGTGCTGGCACTCTGTGACAGCCAGCGCCTGCTCATCAGATCCCACCGTCTGGATGCAAAGAACAGTTCGCTTCTTCTGGCCTGTTGGGCCACACGTGGTTGAACATTTCTGCCATTCTCCTGCCCACCATCTGAAAGCCAGGGGGGTAAGAACCATCAGAAAACAATCCATCACAAGCACATTAAAAGGTCAGAGACTACAAGAAAAAGAACCAGTAATTTAAATTCTGGGTTCAGATATATGCTTTTCATATTAAGTCCAGATCACTCAAGTTTTCCCATCTGCCCTGTGCTCCAGCACCAGCCAGTCACGGAAAGATGCTGATTCCCAGACAGCAGTAGGCTCCAAGTATTATGTTTCTACAATGTGAGAGAATCCACTGAGTAGATCGTCTTTCAAATCCAAATTTGAAAAACTGCTAGCAAGTTTAGTAATCTATTTATCCTATTGTTTGTCTGCTTATTGCTACGTCAGTACAGAAAGAGTTAACAAATGAGAATCACCGGAGAGTCTGTAATGACAGTACAGAGGTGGAGAAGGTCCCCTCACACATGTCTATGCAGCCAGTACTGCACAAGCGCTCAGACTAGCCCTGCGTTACCTCCAGAAGGGGAAGCAGCAAGGCACACAACCCCCAAAAACAGGCTAGTCAGAGCTATGCTGTGTGCACCCACGTGGGACCAGTGCCCTGCAGTGCTGTACCTCTGGGCCTAGTCTCTGGGCCTGCACTAGGCTGGACTTTTCTGTACTTTGTTCCTTCACGAAGTAAAAATGAGCCCCTTATGAGTCTCTCTCCTGATTAAAGATGGTCTTCCGTAGCGTGCTATGCAATGTTCCACCAAATGAAAGATAAATGTTTCCACTAGTGCAGTATTTTCCACTGCAAAACACCTTATTGACAGGAGCCGTCCCCTTTATATTTGGTTTACCTTAGCCTTTCTCCAGCTTCATCCACCTATTTCTTCTCATGCTGACCCACAGTGGATCAAATATCTGCATACCTGCCTTCCATGATAAGAAAGGAGGGGAAAAACTTCTGGGTTTCTACTATTTGAGAAGCACTGGCATCAACTGTCACATTTGCCTAAAGATTTACCTTTATACTTTTTTCAAAAAAAAAAACAAAACCAGACGTCTTTTTCCTTCCAGTTTAGTGTGCCCTTGGCAGGAACATAGCTCCAAGCTGCTGTATAAAAAATATGGCCCAGCTGTGAACTCCAACCCACAAAAGCTCCTAGACAATAATACTTGTTCCTGAGTTTTGAAGTAGGTCGTGACAAAGCCTTACAGGGATATATTTAGAAAACACCCTTCTAGGTGGAAAAAATTGGTTTTGGCTTACAACCAACACCATTCTATTATATTTTTTTCCTTTTAAGGTCAGTGATCTTGGAGCAAAATAATCCCATTCTGATAAATACATCAAAGTTCAATGTCCAGTTTTTTAAGTTTTTGCCCCTTGCTTTGTCTCCCATCTTACTGCATTTCTGGCTTCTTCAGTTTGCTGACAATACCCCTCCCCTTTCCTCTGTAGTTTCCATGTTCCTTCTCTGTTTCCTGATTAATTTATTCTTCAGTTGCAAATGAGTTGTCACTGATGTGGAAGGCCCTGATATCTATTCCTAATCATTTAAAAAAAAAAAAAAAAAGAGCAATCAAGCTATGCACACAGCTCATTTGTGCAACTATCTGGTCTTCTCTGGGGCACCTACACCTACCTTCCTCTCTTTAGTTATGTATACATACCACATTTCCTTTTAAATTACCCTAGAAGCTCTTTGGAGCACAGACTGTTTTGATACATGCTCTAGAATGCAGCCCATTGCCACTACAGCCCTGTGCAAGGCCTCTGCACATTGTTGTACTAAAAGAATAAATTATTTTTCTCCTTCTCCTGCCTTTCTTTGGATTGTTTCTTGCTCTTCCAGGCTTCTGCAAACAACAATGGAAAACTAACAAGTGGTTAAAGAGAAAAAGCAAGTGCACCTCAGTGGAACACAGCAATAAAAAAAGAGAAAAATATATCGCAACCTGAATCAAGACATTTCAGGGTTGTTTTAATCTCTTGCATCATCTTTACAATTTTATCATCTCTAGTATCTTATAAATTGCTGACACTTCAGCACAAATGCAACTTGAAGTATGTGAATTGCCCTATTAATTTTAATGGAACCAGATCACATACTTCAAGCTACAGACATGCTAAGCTGACATCTCTTCCCTCACTGTTTTCAAATGGCTCTGAGTTTTTAAACCAGTAGTTTGCAGGTTTAAATACCTAACTCCTAGCAATAAATTATGAGAACTTACTACAGAACCTGTCTTGATCAGCAGTAATGGTGCGTGATTAGCTATTGCATGCAAAACATTTTTAAAAAGTCATGGAAAAAAGTAAGGTGCTCCAAGTTAGGAAATCCCAGAATTAAGATTTTATCCTATTGCACCTTCATGGTCAATCTTAAATTACATTTAGTCACGTAACTTTTTCTATAGCGTTCTTCCTCATTCAGTGCAGGTAACAGAGAGTACAGGTGAGCCAAGTCATTAATTGCCCGGCACCGTGTTTATCACACAATTCAGAAAACTTGCTCTGACTGAAAGTTTATTCGTATCAGTAGCTGAAGTTTTTGATGGTGCATTTTCCTATTTCCATTCTAAGGTACATGCATGTGCCTTAAACACTCATGCATGAGAAAATTAACATGGAAGCACATGCACTCTTGCCTCTTTATGGTCCCCACTGAGGACTTCCGAACTGCGGTGTCCCAGCCACAGGGGAAGAAAGGCCAAGCAAGGACAGCAGAGTATCTGCCATCCATTTGTCTGTTCTGGTACAGGATGCCCCAAAGCAGGTCCTGGACCACACAGAAGGGAGCAGCACCCGAGTGACTGCTTTGCCAAACTCTATTTAACTTGGAGCTTCTGCTGTCTCCTCACACTGCAGAGCCATAACCAAAACTGGAGGTGACTGCTGAGCACACATCCAGAATTGACACAGCAATCTGAGATCCAAACATGCAACTTCTAAGTTGAAATGACCAAGCTGTTGGACCTCCCAGCTGCAAGCTAAAGAGTGGAGGGCACTGCCAGACAGACTTAGCTTTGGGCAGGTTATAAACAAGGCTTTCTTTAGATCACACATACAGAGAGATGGTTGGCAAAGAAAAGGATATGGGGAAGAAAACTAGTAGGTAGCTGTGTTGATTGTGGTGAGAGACTGGGACAAGTTGGTGGAAACTGAAGCCTGATGGGAGTCACCGTCCAATACTTGTTCCTACCTCTGGTTTCTGATGGCATTTACAACTACAGCAACTGAGTGGTTCTTAAATATTAATGAATCACCTGGTCCCTGCAAAGTGACAAGACTGTCTTATCTCCACAGGCAGGCATGGCATGGAAAGACTGTGGTAACAAACAAACAAGCAAAATGTATGATTTGGGTAATTAATTTGTGTGAGCACTAATTTTCCTAAGGCTGTCAAAATAGAGAGCAGTCTGTATGGGGAAAGCACAACCTCAGTTAGTTCTCAGCTGCAGCTGTGAGTGCTCAGCTTTTCTGCAATCCAGCCTGGGACAGAGGCGGGGAGAAAATCTGGTTGTCTCAGGTGGCATTCAGCTGCCTTAAATAAGACCTATCACTTTTCCTCCCACACTGAGTTTCCAAGGTCTATAACAATTAAGGTGGGGCCCAACAGCCTTGTCCATTATACAATCCTCATCTATACCTAGATGATGTGTGCTGAATGAGGTGTGGATCCTGCTGAAAAAGTAGTAGCACGGGATTTTAGAACCAATGTTTGCTATATTCATGCCTATAGGACTGAATGTTCCCTCCCACCATATTGTGTCACACCTAAAGAAAGACTGTCTTCTTTCACGATGTATTTGTATAGCATCAGGCACAGCAGATACCAACAGGGCACTGATTTTCACTCTGTGTATTATAATAGAAACAAGATTTCCTATTCTTATTATGCTGTTGGAGTCTACAAAGCAGTCTGGAAGCAGGACAATACAGTAACAGCAGATAAAAAGCAGAAGATCCCAAGTACTTGTAAAATAATCTATTTATGGTTATTCTTTTCAAGTGGGTAGTCAGGTTAAAAAGGCTCCAGGCAATTTTCTTTACAGGGGAGAGCAAAACTTTTATTCACAACACTATAAGTAGTTAAAATCTCACTCTTTTTCTTCAAGTAGTATCTATTGATTTTTATCATTAACACCTGTGGAGCTAAATACCTGCCTACCAAAGAAACATATAACTGGAAACCATATTCCATAGCATAATGTGGAAAAAAGCATGCATTTATGCTACAGTCTCATTGCACTCCTGCTAAGCAAGATCACTCAAGTTTTACATGAGCAGTTGTATGACGTTTTAACTCTCAGCTGTTCAGCCATCTTTATTTTGTTCTGAGTCAACATGCGGCATACATGTATTGCAACTTTTTAAGTATTTTATTTGTTTTGCTCTGGATTCTTTTAGTAGAAAGTGTGGGAAAAACAAATGTAGACCAAATCAGCTAACAAACAAGAATGTTAAGACTTGGACTTCTCAGAAGCCTGTCATTGAAATGGTTTATAATTAACTTCCTGAAATGGATTAATGAGATAAGATCTGGTTTGTGAGAGTCACAAACATTGTAGTAATGTTACTCTTTGACTGTAGCTACTGCTTGATATATTATCTAATTCTGATTTAGTGATCTAGTAGCTAGTTTCATGGTAGCATGTTTTCCATCAGTGGGATTTAGCAGATCATAGGAGGGAGGGCTATGCAAGAGAACATCCTTCTTGTTTTAGATAGGATGTCTCGATAAAGAAACTGTTTCACTGTTGGGAAGCGCGAGATCATCTAACAGTTTCAGTCCTGTGGCTGCAGCACTAACCAAAGGTCCCCTGCAGTGTTGTGTTTAACAGCACTGTCCTCAAATCTAGCGCAGAATTTAGCCATCTCTCTACAGAAGACTTGGTCTTCGGCAGCTTCACATGAACTCTCAGTTATCCTGTATCATGCCATATGGGACAGTCACTCCTTCCTACAAATTCAGATTTTCTTTAGAACCAACAAACCACCAAACTGCACTAAGTGGTGTCTTGCATTTCAGATGAAGATGTGTAACCATCTGTCTGGATTAGAGGCCATCTAATATATGCCATGGAAAGTAAATACCAACTAAATGCCATGCTGGGACTACAGCCTGGAACAGAGACCAGATCTACAAAATGAAGGGCTTGGGAAGGGTGGATAAGAATTCATTCTTTACTGCCATCTTTTCCAACAGAACAACTCAGGACCACCAACAGAAACTAGTGAGAGCCAGGTTCAGAATAATTAAAATGAAGTGATGCTTCACACAGTAGGCATAAAAGCTGTGGAACTTCTTGCAGAGGAAGTTGTATATGATAGAAGTTTTACAAGGTTGCAGAGGGAGGCTGGACAAGTACTCGGGTCCATTGGAGGTTACTGATGAAGCCATAAAAACCTCTGGAAATGCCTTGAAATAAAACTAGTTGGAAGCTGGAGATACAATTTATGCTTGTCTTGTCTTTACTCTTCCTTAGGCATGTAGACTCTGCTGGGAGTCAGAACAGGGACTTAGATAGACCTTTGGTCAAACTACTACAGTCACTCTTCTGTTATTAAGAGAAAAATAAATACACAACATGACTCTAGAACTAAATACGTATGGGTTTCCTGCACTGCATTTTGTCAGTATTTTGCTGTCCTCAGAAGGATAACTAGTGCTTTCCTCTGCAGTGCAGAACGAGCTTGAGAAGCATCACTCTGGCTGGCAGCATATGAGAGCTTTCCTGCCTAGCCTGCAGAAGAGCTCGGTTCACATGTCATATAATTCTACAATCTGCCCAACAAGGGACATATTCTGCTCCTCACTTTCAAGAGCAGGTCTGAATAATGCAGTCACTTAGAACAAATGGGATAAATTGAGCTCGTTTGGAACTTTGGAATAAATAGCACAGTTTATACCACGTATATGGGTAGCCTCAGCTCTTAACTAGTCAGCTAATTAATAAGTTTGATCTACTGTCAATTGATTTCCTAGCAATCTACAAAGAATTATGAAACGCTGGTAGTTTATACTTTTAACAGTCATTTACAGAGGCTGTAAGCACAAAGATGTAATTCCCAGAGGAGGCATCATATACTGTTGTGAAGATACTTGGAAACAACTAATAAAACCAACAGCCATGGAGAATCTTTTACATTAAAGCTTCACGAAATTCACTGCTGGCAAATGTAACGCGATACGCTTTAAGGGAATCATTGTAATGACTTTGATTTGATTCTGATTTAACTAGAATTACTAGGGAAAGACTGGTATACCATTGTGAACAGCATGATAAACAATTTCCGAAGACAATGAAAGACAAAAGCAAAATGTTCCAGTACCTAAAGCATGAAACTAAAACCAATATTGATCCCTTCCAGCAAACCTGTTTGTATTTTACAAGCCCACAGTTCTGCTGTCACTTGGAATGTTTGCTGTGGTTAGTCTTCCTTACCCTACTCTCTAACATGGTAGAACAGAAACAACAGAGATGGAGAAGAATTAAAATGATGTTATGGGAATGGAAAAAATTATTCACATATGATCACAGAATGAAGAATGCTGCACTGCGCTGAAAGGAAAAAATAAGAAGAGACATGATAAAAGGATGCCAAATAATAAGTGTTATGAAGAAGGTATAATAATTATAGAAGTGGGCATTTCCACTCATCCTCCCTCACAAAAAGGACAAAGGAATATCAAAAAATAATGAAAAACAGCATCAGAAGGCTTAAAAAAACTTCTCTGCAAGTTAGTTTTCAGAACACACAGTAATACATTATCACTTGAGCTAAGACAGGAATAGGATTTTTAAAACACATAAGAATGTATATGGTTTTCAGGCACACCTGCGTCTCAACTGAACAAAAAGAGTATCTATACAGATGAGAGAGCAATCTCTACCATTCCCAGCACAGACCGCTCAGAAACTTGCATTAGAAACTTCTTAGGGCAGCTCACTCCTAATCCATTACCAGGTTTCTGCCACCTTGCTCCGAAATGCTTTGGAGCTCTCACCGTGGCAGGCCGTAGATGCCATGCTAATCTGGTATTAGAAACAACATTTTCCTTTGAATAAGGCTGCTATTTAGCATTACCAGAGCCCTCCCAGTATCTGTTACCTGGGTGGACAGTCCTTTTCATAACATTTCTTTTGTCGCCCGTTTGGCTGCGTTGCTGGGTCACAGAAGGAGTTTTTGATCGCTCCGCTTCCCTTCCGCATGCAGTGGGCAATCTGGCGCTGCACCCCTGCGAGACAAAGACACAAAAAAAGTTAACAGTAATCCATTTAGGCTGGGGATGAGCTGTAGAAATCCTCTAGCATGGGGAGTACACACTGGTCATACTCCACATCCCAGAATACAGTAACAGCTATGAAAGTCAGTTCTGCTGAACGTCTGGGCTAAGTCAGGTATGAGCATCCTTTAATCAAGCTGAAAAGGTATTAAGCAGAGCTCTTTTGGATCAGATAGCTCAAGGAACACATTAGAAAGCACTTTCCTTAATCTCAATTTAGTTGTCAGCCTCAGGAAGGGCTCCTGCAGGCCCTGAAGCAGGTTTAAAGGGCTATGAATGGTTCTTGGATTACTCACAGATAAGAGGCAACTCAGCAGCATCAGGCTATTCACAGCAAGGGTGTTTTTGCTGACCTTTTCTTTGTACTTCTGAGAAGGCTGTTTAAGCAGAATACAAACTGGAGTATATCAGCAAAACTATAACCCTGTGACTCTTAATGCTGAATTTAACTTTTGAGAAGTTTTAATACAAATCTTGACCAAAAATGATGATGCCATAATACGAGGGAGAAAATCTTATGTTTTCTAAATAACTAGTACACAGCACTCATCACAAGAGGCAAAGCACAGTAATGACAAGACACACAGACATCCCATACATACAATTTGGGTTATTTCCTAACAGTTCCACTTACAAAAACTGCCATGCATTTAACAGAAAGAAACATGAACCAAAACACTGCATTACCCTAGTGCAAATCTAAACAAAGCCAGTTTCCAGGGGCCTGCCTTCCACACAGTTTTGCAATAATTTGAGGTAGGTCCTGTGCTGCAAACCCAGTGTAAAAAAAGGTATTGCAATATTACAGTTTGAAAGGTTGTAGCTAGACTGGTATAGAGGCATTAAAATAGTGGCATTAGGCCCAAACAAATCCCAAGGACTGAGACGACTGAAGAAACTTGTTTATTAACTCTCGTTAAATTAACTGTGCTATTAATTCACAGCAATTAATATGCAGACAGTAGGTCACTGTATCTCTGTGACTTTTATCCTTCTCCTGGAAAGCAAAGGGCCTAACAGCACTGTTACTATGGTGTCAGGGATAAGTGTTAGGCTATTTTGCAGACTGTTTAGGAATCAAGCTTTTCCTTGCCTCACACTTCCTAATAACTAGTGTGGGAAAATATCTGGAAGATAAGAACAGTAATCCATAGATAATAATACTTGGGAAATACAAAGATATTACTCTATACAACATGTACTTATGTTCCTCTATACAGCAATGTCCCCATATACAGCAATTAAGACATATTTCCAAAAATTTCATGCTAACCTTATGGTTATCTTGCTTTAAGTAATTTCACAGCATTCAAATTTTTTTTCCTCTCCAAAATTTAACAGTCTGCTTATAAAAATAAATACAGAAAAGACAGAATACCAACTCTGATACTAGGAAATCCAAAGCTAGCAACAGAGGTAACTTTTGGTGGGAAAACTGGGCATGGACCACATGTGTGAAGGGGAGGTTGTGGTCAGATATTACTGAAAAAGGCCTCCACAACACAAGGAAATTAAAAAGTTTCTATGCATATTTGGGTCATTCCATAGAAGCAGATGGAAACCTGTATTTTATTTTTATAGCACCTTAAGACATCAGGTCTGTGACACTGTGAGGAAATGCTATAGCTTTTAGAGTACTTTCAGACTTGCGACTGAGACATGTAAGACAATTACTGGCAACAGCACAGGATTTGATGACTGAGTCTTCTCCAGTCGTACATGAAGGTTGATTTGCTAGAATCAGCTAGGATTAGTTTCACCTAGACGGGAGGATTAAGGGACTGCAGCCCTGTGCTCCCAATAATGCTCTTCACTGAGGCATTCAAGCTCCAGGGTACCTGGTGTGGAGAGCTGCATGACTGCAGCGTGGCTGGATGTGGCTCTCTCCTGTCCCTAGGGGACTTCAAGCAGCAGAAAGCTTTTTGGTTCAGTGCAGGACTCCCAGTGAGCAGTCCTTTGTTTTATGCTATGAAAAATGTAACTGGAATAGTTAGCAACCTTCCTGCTAGTTGTAAACAAAGCAGTTAACAGAAATATGTTTCTGTCCCTTTTAAAATCATGGTATGTTGCCATTACAAATGCAAGTGAGAGAAGAACTCTTTTGCTTTGATAAATTTTTAGTGTCATTTCAGCTGCTGTAATTCACTTTAAAAGCACTATAAACCTTTGCAAAAGTTTTGTTTCGAGGCTGTACATTCTCATAAAACATTTGCTGATCACTGGCATCAATAAACTAATTTATTCACACAAACCATTTTTATCATGGAAGTTATCTGAACTCTCACTGTAGTTTCAAAATCTGGAAAGTTCTGGGATGCAGGTATAGATTTAAAGAAGCCATAAATGCACAGTTTTTTATCATGACTGTGTATAGTTCAGTTCCAAAGTTGGAAGGAATCCTATATGCATATATTGACATACATATATATGTGTAGGTATAGATATAATGACATAATGAAACAGTTGTTTTTTTCAGCTTGAGCAAGTCGAACTAGAAAACATTGCAAAAGTAGAAAACTAGTCACCTGACGGTGACCCTGCCGTACCAAACATTTACACAGTTACATAACTTAAATGTGTAATATCCTATTTAAGTCACAGATTAAAAATTCTAAATATACTTAAAAACTCAGTAAAATTGGAAACCTAAACGCTATTTCTATAAGGCTCTGAGAGGGTAGCTGTTTTCCTTCCTTCACCTCTTTTACTTCTCTCTGACCTCAGTGCTAACTAGTCCATGCTGACAAATGTTTTGCATGCACAAAGGTGCTGGCTGTATTCATCAGGACATTGTCTCTGTGTTCGTAGTCCCACTGCAAAGATCTTGCTTTTTCTGCTGGAGTGGGAATATCCCATTCCTTTCTGCTCGCCTCAGCACTCATTGCACCGTAGCCCTTCCCACACCCATGTTTCTTTACACAGAAGTGTACCATCTCAACTCTGTGAAAAAAACCCTACAAATATTTCTGGAAAAAAACCAGAGAAACCAAGAATGACAACAGTCAGATCAAACAATGGTCTTGATTTCACTAAATCTGCTCTGAGATTGCTTCTACCTCTCTGTGCCACTTCATCCCTAATGCAGGACTTTTTAGATGGGAGGTTGACACACTCAGCTCCTGATTTCTCGCTTAGTTTGCAAAAAAAGGTGCCCCTTTAAAGTCATTTAGTTGTGGAACATTTTTGAAACAGAGATTAGAAATCTGTTGGCTGCATAGCCCTTAGTTTGGGCAAAATTAAGGCTGAGAACAACAGAAATGAAGGAACCAGAAGCAAACATACAAAATGGGTATGCAAAAGAGCATATTTGATTGTAAAACTAATTTGAACATGTAATTGTCACAGCTGTGCATCAAATCAGATACTCTGCAAGGAGTTCACTTTGGTATTTGAATGAACAAACTATATTCAGTGCATGCACAAGTTATGTACACAATACAAGAGCCAACCTTTACATTCTCGGTGTTATAAAACTTAGACCCATAATAGCGAAAGAAAATACAGTGACTTTTGCTTTCTAAAATCAATGCTACAAGTTTAGTACTACTTTTCAGTTGAGGAACACCTGGAGGTAATTTTGCAAAGTAGCCCTCATAACAGTTGTGAAGAATTTAGAGGGTACATAACAATTAACCCCCAAATGAATCTTACAGTTAAGTCCTTTTGCAAAGCTTTGAGAATTTGCCAATTACTGATGTTATCTATGGAGAAGCAAATTGTTGAGGTTGCCTAATATTCTCCTTTAGTTGCAGCTGCGCTGCGCTTTGCTTCTTGAACATTCAATGCCACTCAAAGCTAGTTCTAAGAAACATGATTATTAAAGCCTTTAGACAAGGATGAAGGATTTATACTTGTAATTTCTAATTGACCATTATTTAAAGAAAGAATAATGGGTAGTAATCTTCCTATAAAAAAGCTTAAGGGCTTTACATGTTGTCTTGACAGCAGGCTCTGGAGGGACAGGCCCTTGGCCAGAGGCTGTAGCATTCTGCAGGACACTGTCCGGTGTGCACACGCTGACTGCAAAGCAATTCCTTTCTGCATAAAGCAAATGGCAGGCAGAGAGGCAAACTGCCCTGCAGTGAGGACAGAGCAAGGCTTATCATTTTTACTATAAATTATCCCCTTCAGCATTTGTTTGCCATGAAATAGATTGCAATGTAATTACTGAACTATTTTCTACATTGCAAATGGGTATCAGGTATTGCAATGTGTTCTCCTTTTCCCTGCATGCAGTATTAGGTGTGTTTGCTACAGAAAACATTGATTTTTCAGACAATACTTTTTCCCTGTTAAATGGTGTTATTGTAGACTGGCCAGACCCACTCTTTGAGACTACAAAAGGCAGGGGCACATGAAGGAAATGAAGGAAAACATGAGCACATTTGTGTCTTCTCTTTCTCAGTTGCAATGGAGTTGGGGAAGGATATGGGTCAGGGCATGGCATGGTGCTACCTTGAGGCCAAGACTCTTTTGGAAAATATCTTTAGGGAGCTGCCCTGGTTTAATTCTGAGAAGCGACAGCTTCACTGTCAAAGACATTATTCATCATTGGGACTTTTTGCAGGTACATTTCCCTTGGATAAGGAACCGTATCATAGGGCTAAACCTGTATTTTTTCTCTTAGGACAGATAAGGCTTTCCTGCATCAGCCCATTCCCATGCCTGTAGCCCTATTTATCACTCCCTAACTCAGCTTCACTCTCTTGGCTCTAGAAAGTATTTGTTTGCATTGTCCTGATTTCAGTGGCTACAAAAGGCCAAAGTGCCCTTGGATTTACTGCTACTGTATTGACCAGTTGTGATGAGAGGCCTTATGCCAAATCTTTAGGCAGGTCCAGGTTTGCCAAGAGAACAAAATTCTAGGTAAGGATAAATTTCTCCTACTGGCTGTAGCTATCAAAGTTAGTTCAATAGTTCACTTTTCTTGGCCCTTCCTTTTATCCTGAAAAACTATTGGTTTATTATTTACCAAATGATAACTGCAAAATTCCTTGAAGGTTATTTTATTACTACCTTTAGTCTAAACGAATGCAACTTTTCTTATCTCCTTGACCCCCACTGTAGGCTTGTCTTCCGTAATACTTGTCACGCAGCACACCGATAGCAGAAGATGATCTTGCCTACTTCATCTTTATCTTACAAACCCTTCAAAACTCTTCAAATGCCTGACATTTGGCACAACAGGTCTGTTACTGCCAATGGCAATAAATTCTGAATCTAAACAGAGTGTATGTTCAGATAAAATCAATCTCATCATTCAAAGCCTGAAGGAAGTTCTGTGGAAGTCAGAGAAGGATGTTGCTTAATCCAGCAACATTGGGAACATTCAGTTCTGCCTTTGTTCTGCCTCCTGGTCCTGAACTGAACTCGGGGGCATCAAACCACAATAATGCGTAACCGTGTGAGACTTTCTGGTTCTAGGTCAACAATCACTACCATGCCCATATTCCCTGCTAAATGTAGCAAGACTTTAGAGTTTCCAAATTTCCATAATGATGGAGAGCTAACATTTTCCAAATACACCTTCCCTGCTGCTACGCCTTTTTTTTTATGCAGCAAAGCTCCAGGTATTTTTGCTGATGTGGTTGTGCTCCGATCACCCAGGCATAAACCTGCTATATTACTGCACCAGTGTGGTGCTTAGGAGGGCCAGCTAGCTCAGATTCAGTGCCGAGCTAATATGACAACAGCACAGCTGGTCCACATTCAGACAGCGCAGAGCACAACCAGATAAAGCATAGGGTACCTGCAGAAAACTGCAGACAGACTGTAATATCAGAGCTCCCCTGGTTCAAGTGATGCATTGAAGCTCTGTGCCAGGCTTTCCCTTTTTTCTCGGCAGGGAGTAAGCGACAATACCCTTACTGCGTCATATATTACCAGATTACATCCTCCTTTAGACCTGTTCAGTTACTTTTATAAATGTATGCATTTATATAAATGTATGTACGAGGAAAGAGAGCCAAGAGTCTATTTATGTCTTTTCTCCTGTCCATGAAGGAATGCAGAGAACTGGGAAGGTTTCTGTGCCCTTTTTGAACTGTAATGCACCTCTTGGTTCCCCTGCAAACTCGTGTCAATAAGTCCACAATCTTGCCTGAAACGTATCATTTCCACCTATGTAAAGAAAAAGCCAATGAGCTCAAGAAATATTTATTAAGAGCCCAAAGACAGTAAACAGGGGAAGCCACCTATTAAATAAAACCTGAAAAAAACCCTATATCCTGCAGTCCTCTATTTAAGTAATCCATGTGGCAGGTAGAAGTCAAAGCCAAGTCACACAGTTCTTTAGCCAGGAACAAAACAACATAATAAACAGTCTAATAACACTTCCCCCCCCCTCTTTTTGTTATCATGCCAATTGTTACGTTAAACACTATTCACAACTAGGTATCAGAACTAAAACATACAGCATGCAATTAAGGAAAACAATTGTTTTGGGTACCTATTTTGAGAAAATGGGGTTTTTTTGGTTTTTTTTCTGCTAACCAGAAAGCACATGCTGTTTTGTGCCGACTCATCTCAACCCCCCCCCAAAAAAACAAACCACACAAATTTTTGCACAAACTAACATATATGGATGTATAAACATCTGTATAATAAGTCCATTATATATATAAAAATATATTTTATAATTTAGGAATGTTATTGGGATGGGGTGATTTACACTATTCTTCTAAAATTCTTCTTTTAATCTTCTAAAATTAAGGCCATACAATGTCCTTTGTTCAAACCACTGAAAATGTATTGTTTTAGTGTCTTCCCTGACAGGAAAGATTAAAAAATTGTTACTCCTGTAATCGTCACTGCTTCTGGACTCCCAACTGGATTTGTTACAACATTTGTTTATCTTTTTCTTTCCTTCTGGAAAGTAGTTAAAGAAACAATAAATATCAAAAACACTGACAATACCCTAGCATTAGAAAGATAAAAGGCTTATTTCATGTTGTTTGTCCAGTGACTGTAACATTGATCTGCTGTTCTGTACAGTTTTCACACAGACGGTCAAAGAACAAGGTTCCCATCCTATCTCCAGGACTCTTCTTCTGTCCAGTGAAACTCAGGCACTAATTCAGACAGAAGGCTGCAATCTCTTCCTCCCCAGGTGCAGACTTCCTTTCACACACAACATTTTTCTCATCTATGAGAAAGAAAGTAGGCTCTAACGGAGCCTACTACGAGTTAAAAATTATTCCCGCAAAGGATGGATAAAAACCTTTACTTTCGTAAAGAAACCTTCAGTCTTTTTATCATTATCATTGGTTTATTGCAAGCATTATCTTCATCTCATCGATCTGTTAACTACCTTAAAGAGTTTTCCTGCTAGCGTTTTCTGTGTGTTACCAAAGGCAAACTTTTAGACCTGTTGTTAGATCCTACTTCATGGTGTCATTCTGCTTGTCTGGTTTAATATGCTGCACAGAACTACAATACAACTGCAGCTGTTCCCAAGCCATTGTACTGAGAGTGGCAAAGACATGTAAGTTCTCAAGACTGATTTAAATAAAGTAATTATTGAGAAATGCACAAAAAGCATTGTTGTTTATCAAGGCAGGACAGAAATTAAGAATATTTTTTGTAGTTAACATAACTACAAACTACAATAACTGGAAAGACTCAGTAGGGAAACAAGAGTAGGTCATAAGTTAGTATTGCTGGGAAGTAGGGTTATTGTGAACAATATTGACAGCAAATTATGAGAAAAAGGAAACTGTAGTTTTTCATTTTGGTTCACAGAGGTTAAGAATTTTAGGGCAGGTGTTATAGAAACCTATTTGCCTTAAATGATTTAATAACATTTTATTTTAAAGCCAAAATACATTATTGTAACCATGGGATCTGACTTCCCACCAAACGCAGATTAAAGAACCTTACCTCTTTGAGGACACTGTCTGGATAACTTAAGGTAAAGATGAGATTTGCCAGTAATGAAGACAAAGAGTAATAGAAAAAGGAAGTGAGGAATTACCTCTTCCACAGGTAACACTGCAGGCTGTCCAGTCTCCATACTGCCAAAAATACTCTGGCTCTCCAATCTCATTCTCATTACTTTCTTCTTTACGTACAGTATATTCATACTTGATTCCAGGGTTAGTTTCTTGAAAAAGTAGCTGGAAAAATAGTGTGTTTAATTTAATTACTTATGATTTTAATCATCTACTGTCCCAAAGCTTTCAAAAGAAAAGAGAAGAATCAGCAAGGTTTAAAGCAGCCCATTTTGGAGCCTACTATGAGTTCAGAAAAGCAGACTGGCAAAACTTCCATTTGTGCACCGACAGTGGCATACGTGTATCTAAGACACAGTTGTTTGCCATGCACTTTTGCAAGCACAGGTGGGAGTAAATGGGTCAGCATAATTGGTATCCTATTAACTGTAAGAAAAGACAATGCAAAGTCCATCCAAGACACTGCCAAATGTGTTGCTGATTAAGAGCTATTGCCTATCACCATTATAAATTATAATTTCCCTACCTTTCTGAAAAAGCTGTTACAAAACAACCAATAGGTCAGAAAATTACAGGCTTTATTCAGACACTGCTTTAATATTATTTTTCAGTGTTTCTGGATTAAGAAGGAAAATTCCAATTGAGAAGAGCCACTCAAGAAATTTACTGTTTGGCTGATGAGAGGGAGGAAAGGAAAACATCATCAAGGGATAAAAGACTTCAGCAATGAACTTCTACTCTTCCTCCTAACTGTTTCCTTCACCTTGTTACTGACAGTGAAGACTGAGTACCCGTTAGATGTGCCTTCTCACCAGACATTCAAAGTGTGAAAGTGGCTCCCATCAAACCCCTAATTACTTGTTTTAATTGCATGGTGGATACACAGGCAAACAAGCCAGAAAGACACATTCAGAGAACACGGGGCAATTTAAAACTATTTTTACAGAATTAACAGAAGCTGTTCACATTTAAGTTAGAATCTATAAAGCAACATAAAAGAAAGAAAAAGGATCAACCTCAGTGGATGCTAAATGGATCCATTTCGCTTACCATAAGCTATTAATCCACCTATCTAATGCTGTATTTTCTTGCTCAGTGTAAGCTGTCACTGCTGTCAGCCTTCCCTAGCTCTCACTGTTCACAGCCTAACATCAGTTCCCTTTTTGTGATGTTTTAGTTGTTGCTAGGTAATGCTTACACTAGCCAAGGACTTTTTAGTTTTCCATGCTCTACTGACTGAGAAGGCTGGAGGTGCACAAGAAGCTGGGAGGGGGCAGAGCCAGGACAGCTGACCCAAACTGGCCAAAGGGACATTCCATACCATGTGACGTCATGCTCAGTATATAAACTGGGGAAAGATGGGGGGGGCCGCTGCTCGGGGACTGGCTGGGCATCGGTCGGCGGGTGGTGAGCAATTGCACTGTGCATCACTTGCTTTGTGTATTATCATCATTATTACATTATTATTATTATTTTATTTCAATTATTAAGCTGTTTTTATCTCAACCCACGAGTTTTTCTCACCTGTGCCCTTCAATTCTCACAGCCCCAGCACATTCTGCTGCCATCCAAACCCAGCAGGTTCTGCTAGTGACCTCCTATTTACCTGAATCCATATTGACTCATTGGTGGGTCCTGGAGCAGTCAGATTTTCTAGATCCCCTGTTCTGTCATACTGAAATACCGTGCCTGCCACTTTGTATTCACCATTCCACTGGATGATAAAGCCTCCATTCAGGTAATATTTTTCTGGGTCTTTGCTTCGCACAGCAAGGAAATTTCCTGCTTCTGCAACTTCCATGACTTTGATTCCCCTCGCACCTTTCGGAATTAGCCCAATATCAACGTATCCTAAGAGACAAGAAAGGTTCATGGAGGTGAACAACATAGAATCATAGAATCATAGAGGTTGGAAAAGACCTCCAAGATCATCGAGTCCAACCGTCAACCC